AATATATAGAGGTCTAGATCTAAACTAGTAGATCTACATCTATATAACATTAAAAAAATTGAATTTCAGGTCCGCCAACTTTGATATCAACAAACAATGATCCACAAATAGGCGATGATGTTACACTAACGTGTCAACCTCCCATTCAAGTTGTAGGAATTAAATTTACTTGGTTCAAGTAAGATTAAAACTCAGCGGTGAAGCCAATATATTATAGTTATATATAATAGATTTATAGAATCACTATAGGCCTATAGATTATAGATTCTAGATAGCCTAAACTAATTTAATTAAAATCAAGCAGGCACAAAAAATAAATTCAAAAGAGTTAAAAACTTTAAGTTTTAAAAGTTTTAAGTTAAGGCCTTAAGGGCTAAGAGTAGGCTAAGACTAAGAATTTACAAATTAAAATTATTAAACTGTTGATGGCTTCTGATTTTGATAGATTTGTCTTTTTTTTATGTGTATTATTTTTTACCCTCTTAATCTTATCACTCTGATTTCTTGATTTTCTTCTTTGATTAATTAATGATAACTCTTAGTCTTCTTAGTTATTCATGTATACATACTAACTATACTATAGATATTAAGATAGGCCTACCTCAAAATTAATTTGAACAGTCAGTAGCAGTAGGCCTAATTTTTAAACATTATTTTTTTTCTTTAGAGGTAATAATCTATTAGCTAATGCCTCTGAACAAGTCTACACTTTGTCAAATATTAAAGCTGACGATGCAGGAGAATTTAAATGTTCCTTTGACATCAATGAAGTGAGGGGGCTGCAGAGTTCTGGTTTTATTATTGTTTGTGAGTTAATTATTTGAACTTTAATATAGCGTTTACACTTGCAACATGTATACTATACCTTTCTAGGAAAAAAAAACTTCGCCATAGGGCCTAAGATAATAGGGGAGCCTACCCATTTATTGCGAAGTTTTTTTTTCTAGACATGTATAGTATACATGTCGCAAGTGTAAACGCGGTATAAGAAATATGATTTCACTAATTACATCTGAAATAGTAACATGTTAAAAAGACCAAATATAAAAAGTTATAATTATACTTTTTAAAATAACATATTGTACTTTGTTTTTTTCCCCCATTGTCCGCTGGGAGTAGATTTCTATATGTTGCAAAGTTTTATTAAATTTTAATGTCTTAAAAAAATCTGCAGTCACTCCTCCAGAGAAACCTTCACTGAGTTTGCCATCTGATTCTTCAGTCAACTTTGGATCTTTCTTCAGCTTTCAGTGCAATGCTAACGACAATTTGAGATTTGGTCTTCTTAAGTAAGCTATTGAATCCAAAATCTTTTTAAGAGGCCTACTTTAGAAATTATAAAGTAGTTTTAGACTAAATTAAATAAAAATAAAAGCTCAAAACTAGAAACATATATTAAAAAATCCATTTTTGGTAAAATTAAAATATTTATGACTGTATCATTATAGGGTGTTTCTGTATAAAAATGATGTAAAAGTAGCAGAAAGAAACGGGAGTCTTGGATTTGCCAGCTTCTATATACAAAGAACTCTAATGAGAGATTCTGGAAACTACACATGCACTTTTACAAACAAAAGAGGAGAGTCTGTCCAAAGTGATCCTGCATCTGTTGAAGTGAAAGGTACAAACTGGTGTTGATAATTCAAATTACAATTTGGAGTAAATATTTTTAGATGATATTTAAAAAAAAAAAGAAGTAGGCCTATATGGGTTAGTGGGTTATTGATTAAGTTTTAGATTTCATGAACAAGATCATGCACACGTTTTGTTATTTGATAAGGCTTAAATTAAGTAAGTAGTATAAGTTTAAAAAAAAAAAGAGTTAAAATACAAAATACAAATGAACACATAGGCCTACTTATTCACAATAGAAAACAGTAGATTAAAATAATATTAATATTCTTAAATATTGCATAGGCATAACATATTTTCAGAATATATTCAGTTTTTATAGGCATTAAAACCATGCAATTTCAATTCAACTAGACTGTCACTATTTACTCTCAATTTTGATGAAAAATACTCTGTATTTTATATTTAGTTTTATTCTAAATTTTTAATTAAAATTTTAAACTTTTAAGTAATTCTTCTTCTCTGTTCTTAATTTTAGTGTTGGAAGGGATTCCCTCCAACACATTTAACTATACGTGTCAACTGGTTACACGCTATTTAGGCAGTTGACTCCAATTTCAGCCTGCTTTTGTTTTTGGACTTGCTTCCATAGCCTTTGTCTTAACAAGAACAAACTAAAAGGCAGCAGTTGTTTGATTTCGGAGTTTCTCCTAGATGAGTGGCTGTCCCCATCAGTTGGATTTGAACTCAAGACATTTCAGTTTAGCAATCATGAGCTTTTACCAACTCGACCACATAGATTTAAGTAATAGAAGTAAAAGAAAGTTTCCCTTTCAAACCTGACGGTCTATGGGGCAAGTGAAGTAGAGTTCACTTGTTTCTGTGACCTCGGCATATGAAGAGATAGTGTGGTCAGTACTATGTCCAGCCGCCTTTACTCTCCCTAACATGAGTTAGGTACCCATCAGAGTTGGGTGGACTCAGGGATGGTAATAGAAGTGTTAAAATTTAACTCAGATGCTCAAGTGGGAAACTCTTCTCTGCCACAAGTACCTCAGATAATGAATAGAGGTGAATATTCTCAACTGTACTGCTCAGCTGCAACTAATGGAGAAACAAGCTACTGTACCTTGTATATTGATGGGATCAGGTATTTAATAAAATCTTTCTTACATTAGTTAAAAGCTAATTTTTTTTTTAGAAACAAAAACTCTTTTCAATATGTTAGATTAATGTATATAAATACTGATGGAATAAGGTATTTAAAAACAATTTCTTAAATTAGATGAAAATATGGTTACTAAATATTTTAGGAAAAAAAAGTCTATTCAATATGTTAATTTATTTTTAAAATAATGGCATTTTTGTGTGTGTTAATCTTGATTAAAATATTTTGCCTTTAACAGATATGTTGATGATCAGGACTGTTCAGTGTACCTACCACACTCTGTTAGTGGATCCTACACATGCAACAGAAATATTTATAACAAAACTGGGCTCATGAGTCCACCAGTGCAAGTCACATTTTACAGTAAATAACATTTGTTTCATTTTTGCTTTTTAATATGTTATGGATTTGTTTAGCCATAAACTATACAAGGTTTGACTATATCTTCAGTATAGAGGGCAGGTAGCTTGGGGTGGGCAGGTTGGGCAACAACCTCGGGTGCTAAGGGCACCAAAATGGGTAGAAAAATTAATTTAAAAGCTTGTTTTAAGCTGAAGTATTGGGATTATACACAATCAAAGCTATGAATAAAGGGACAAGGTTTTACACACTGATTTAACTGTTTTCTACATCAATTTTGAGGTCCAGAAAATGTTACAGGATAGTATCTGGTAAGAAGCTGGACAAGCCTTTCCAACGGGGGGGGGGGGGGGGGGGGGGGGGTTGGTGAAAAAATTATAGTCCACCCCGGGCGCTGGAATAGGTAGCTATGCTCTGTGGTCAGCTAATTTCCATGCATACCATTAAAAAGGATTAAAGATGAACGATCATGCACAATATTTTTAATAGGTGGGAAGATAACTAATTCAATTTTTGCTAATCTTTGGCTTTACTAAGACGAATCTTCCTCTTGCAACCCGGCATATTGACCCAACTGTCCCATAAGTTTGTCAACTATGACATTCTTTACTCAATGCATTATATTCATTATATTCACACTACACATACTCAATAAACAAAATGACACAATATCAAATACTCCCAAACCAGGGGCAGAACTACAGTGCCGCCAGACCCCGCAATGAGGGGGGGGGGGCCCAACGACATTTAGGGGCCCAATTTCGACCAAAAAAAACAATGAATTTTCTTTTCATAAATAATATTTTTCGCGCACCTTGATAGTGGTTTTGTAAAAAACAAACAGGTCTACAATTGCAGTGATTGTTCTACAGTAACTAACACACACTTTTGCTTAGAAAAATATAAAATCTACAAGAGCTGTAGTTTGAAAGATAGGCAAACGTTCAAACTACTTCCATGACTTACTGCCCTTCTTTAAAATAGGGTGCCCATAAAGCTCATTTAAATAGTTTTGTACTATGTAAGTTAAAAAGCAATTTCTTCTCTCAATTATTATTTAAATAAGCCATACTAAAGAATTCTAAAGCTATAAAAATGAATGTATTCAAAACTAATAATATAAATACAAAAAATCATAAAAATAAACACAACGCGAGAAACCATTGCACAAATCAAGCTTATGTGTTTATATAAATTTGACCAGCTTTAAAACATTCAACATTTTTGTCAATTCGCGGTAAACATGAAAATGTAATAAAAACACTTGTAAAACAGGGATATTGCGATCCGAAATTAGTTTGGACTTATTGTTGTCTGGTTCGTTATCTAAGTCAATATGAGTGTAGACATTAAAACATTTTTCTTACATTTATTCTTTCATGCTATTCCAGACAAACCCCGTGTTGTACCAACCACGAATTTTTTCTTGAATCAAAATATTGCACTGAGGTGTGTTACAGATATACCCAGTGGTACATACTCCTGGTACAAGTGGTACAATTTAGTATCCTCTTCAAACAATGACACATATGAGTTTACTCTAACGAGTGATTTGGCAGGTTCTTACCGCTGTAGGGTTAAAATTAATGAATCTGAAATATGGAGTGAATTTTACCCACTCAGTGGTTTGTATACTATACTGGTTTTTATTTTTCATTTATATTTATTTGTGTTAAAGAGCTAAATTTATTTTTAAACCTACATCAGGATTTATGTTTAGTAATTCACATTCAGAATAATATTCATGTTTAATGTGAATTTAAATTTAGGTAAAATATCCCCACACAAAAATTGCAAAATTTAAAGCAATATATTATGATTTTACAATTGTTAATTGTATTTACATTTTTAAAGCTTTTTATTCTTCTTCCTAATTTTAACCACTTGTATTTTCAGTGTCTCGACCACCTAAACCCTCTTTAGACAATTACAACCGTGATTCAGGATTTAGTTTTAATGAGAACAATTCCACAAACTTATATTGCTATGCAGGAGATGCTGAAATATATGCATTATATAAGAATGGAATCAAAGTGTCTACTAAACAATCAAGTAACAACATATTCACAGTAGTTCTATCTGATTCAGAAACAGTTAGGTATACATGCACTGCATCAAACAGACTTGGTGAAAGTGAACAAAGTGAACCTGTTTACTTAAGGAAGAAAGGTATGAAGCTTTTTTTTTACATTTCCTGTTTTAACAATGTTTTCTGCATTAACAATTGGTTAGAATTAACTTTTTAAAAAAGAATTCTAAGGTTTAATCTCATTTATTAATTATTTTAAATTTTGTAAATAAAAACTTTTAGAAACATATACATTTACTTCTAATAAAACTTACATTTTAAAAAAGGCATGTGTTAATATTTTTATGCTCACAATAAATTTTGGTACACAAAAGAGTAAATAAGAGTAAATAAGATATAATTTTAAAATTTATTATTATTAAGTTTATTTTAATTCATTTTGTTATTCATTTGCTATAGAGACTGTTTATATAACTGCTAGCAGTAAAGTGGCCTCTGTTGGTCAGCCTTTTTCATTGAACTGCAGCGCTGAAAACAATCAGTCATCTGGATCTTACACTTGGGAAATTCATAAGTAATTGTTACAGTACTTACTAAAAGCAAATTAAATTGATGTTCTGGGCAATCATTTTTCCCATTGTATAGCCAACAATATTTCATAAAAAGTAAATAGAAACATTTAAACTGTTTTAAAGCTAATTTCTTAACTAGTAATAACTGGTCTGTCTTATAAATTTTTACGAATATATAAATATTTTTGTCCAGTAAGTTTAATTTTTTTATAATTCATCTAAACATTGTCTAAAACTAAACTATTAACTACATGTCTAAAGCATATTAAATAATTTTAGAACTGCAGGGATAAATACTTTGATACCATCTCAAAATCTAACCTTCAATCCACTGACACAACAAGATGAAGGTGTCTACATTTGTGAATTTACAAAAGAGGATTCAAGAGCCACAGCACGTGATTATTATGTTCTAGCTGGTAAGTCTTGTTTTACTTACTTTCTGCTCTCTCTCTTTCTCTCTCTCACAAACATTCAACGTTATTTGAGTAAATCATTAATTGTTTTAGAATAAATATATTTTGTCCAATATAATAATTGTTATTAATATAATGATAAATGTGTATATCTAATGCTTAAATTATTCATTTTGCATTTACTTTATAAAATTGTTTTTTTAATCAGCAGAATTTTTTTTATTGTTTTCAGTATCACTCCCTAGTGTACCTGTAATCACTCTAAGAAATCAAGCTGGTAGGGGTGAACAAAAATCAAGAGATTCTAGAGCAATTGGTGGTGCAACAGCGGCAGAAGCAGATAACATCATAGTGTACTTTGATTGTTATACTGACACTCTTCTAATCAATCCAAGAAATCCATTCCGGTTTGTAGATCTAATAACTTTGTTCAAATTGCCTCACTATTATATTTATTAACCAATTTATTCCATACAATAATTTATTTTATTCATTTTTTTTAAATTTAGTTTCATTATTGGGCTAAAATTATTTTAGTTGTATTATTGACATCTCACTAGTTTCTGATCTTTAAAGAAAAATATAACAGCCATTCAGATTTGATGGGTCTTAGGTATGTCAAATATTGTTCACTGTAGTTTGTTACTCTGACATCATGTGTGATCAGCACTCAACCTATCAGCTTTATAATCTACTTGGTACAAGTCAGTTATCCAATAGTTTGTTAGACTTAAGGATGTCATCCAGACCACAGCCTGGAAATCAACTCACGACTTTTAAATTAGAAGCATTGTGATTTACTAATTGACCATTTTGTCCATTAATTTGCTTAACATTGTTATAGATTTAATTGTAATTGAGACAGTATTGATGGAGATGGGATCATGATTATTATTCTCAATATTTTGCTAGCTAAAATCTATTTAAAGTGGATGCATTTTGCAATGTAGAATATTCATTATACACTATCTAATTCTGTTTCAGGCTGTATAAAAATGGAGTTGTAGTAAAAAATGTGCCCTATGTGGATGAGCTTTACTTCTCGGGAAGATTTAACATACGAAGGATCTATTCAGTGGATACAAGCATAGCATCCAATGAAGGAAACTATACCTGTACAGCCCTCAACTCAGTTGGGGAATCTCAGCAATCAAAAGCTGTGTACATTACCAGAAGTTTAGGTGGGCTGTATTTTAATATTTATCTGCATTTTCATATTTTCTATAAATGTAAAAATAAAAAATAAAGGGATGATTGTTTGTTTTATTTGAAAAAAAGGATAAAGCTTTACCATTTTACATATACAATACTGTTTTCAAACTAGGTTAAAAGTTGACAAAATTATTAAGATATTTTTAAAAAAAATTTTTTAATTCATATATTTTCAGGATTTATAAAGCCTCAAGTTACCATGAACAATGTAAATCCACAAGCTGGTGATGACATTACACTTACATGCAACATATTGTCACCACAACTAAACTACATAATAACGTGGCAGAAAGATTTCTCAACCATACTGAAAACTGGAGTTACTCTCTCCCTCAAATCTCTAACAGTAGAAGATCATGGCTTCTACACTTGCACATATTCCAACCGTTCAAATGAAGATTACAGCTATTACTGGTTGGAAAAAGTTTCAGATCCAGTTTTTATTTCATGTATGTGACCAAATACATTGATTATATTTATCCAAATCATAATAGAGGCGTGTGTAAATTAAATAGGCATGCATGAGTTAAAAAAAATTTAGTATCTTGTTTGTTTTGAGTCAATTATGAGTTTTTAAATGTTTGATATTTTTTCTTAGTGTTACCACCTCTACAACCAATATTACTGTTTGATGCCAACTATCTCGACCTAAAGAACAAATATTATGCCTATGGTGATGGACCGGTCTTTTACACATTTGGTGAAGGAGATACACTACATTTAAAGTAATAATATTAAGGAATATTAAAAATTGCTAAATACTTTAAAAAAAGAAATGTTATTTTGTTTTTATAAAAAGCAAAAAAATTAAATAAAAAATTAAAAAATTATTTTATTATATTAATTATTCTCAGCTCTCTTCGGTAATAAATCTTTTACTTAAATGTCAGAAAATGTCTAACTTCTTAATTTCCATATTAGGTGCTTTGTGCAAGCCATGCATATAAATGACTACCAGTTTTCCAATATTAATCCATCACCTTACAACTTTACACTTTATAAAAATGGTCAAATTACTCAGCCTGCAAACACAAATGGCATATTTACCATTTCTGGACTTTCAAAAGGAGACTACAATTACACTTGTCAAGTTAGCCGTGAAGCACAGCAATCTTTAATGAGTTACCCTCTCTTGGTAAGGATAACTGGTGAGTGCAACAATGTTTTGTATTATGATCAATTCATTATCATTTTATATTAATGTGTTATTATGTGCAGGCAATAATATGACTATTGTAATAATATTTGCATATAAAAGTGTACTTCCATTGACAATGGTGCAACTAATATTACAAGAAATATAATGAAAGCTAAAAGTATAATCTTTTATTTAGATCGACCAACCATTACTTCTTCTGTGCCATCTCCTTCATTGGGTGCTAATCTCACCCTAACCTGCAACACTCTTGTGGAATCTAACAGCATTGACATTACTTGGAGAAAAAATGGAATCAATATGGGATTTACATCAAATATTCTCAGTTTGAATACAATATCCCAATATGATGAAGGATCTTACACATGCCAGCAAACAAATATGGAGTGGACGTCACCATTGAGCGAGGAATTCATCATTAATTGTAAGTATTTCTAGTATTGAAGAGTAGTTTTATGGTAGAGCTCACAACTGCTAAACTGAAAATCCTAAGCTAGAGTACATAAGATGTACTTGAATCCACCCAGCTCTTATGGGCACCTGACTCACATTAGGAAAGCAACTCCAGCTGAGAATAATACTGACCAATTTATGAAGAGGTCATTGAAACAGGTGAACTCTACTTATCTGCCCCATGTGTCTTGGGCATGAACAGGAATAGATTAAGTTTTCATTATAGTTTACAATTTAAAAATAGAAATTCTGTATCTTCAGTATGATTGACAGTGCAGAATTTAAAACAAAAATCTAAAAGAAACTTTGCATAATAAAGAAGGAAGATGGTATTCACTTAAATACAATCAGATGAAACAAAAAGTGAAAAAGTTTACACATATATTAACAAACATTCAAAGTCATAGTTTCATTTTTTTTTAATAATTACATTTTAAAAGAATTCTGTGATTAATTTAAAATTGTCTTTGTGCAAGGTTGCCATCCATTATTTATAATTAAATAATTATGAATGCTCTCATTCATCTATAGTTGGACTTGCACCTTCCAAGCCAGATATTTTCATCACTGCCGATACACCAATACAAGCTGGTTCATCTTTTGCCATCTACTGCCTTTCTACTGGTACTCCAGTAGTTTCTGCAACTTTCTACAAGGATGGTCAGATCATTTTCAATGCAACTGGTGGCTATATGAGTGATGCGGGACAGACTGTATTCACTTATCAAATAACACTAGCAGCTGCTACCAACTCAGGAATCTATTCGTGTTTGGTTAGAAACAGCCTCAGTGTTTCTCAGATTAGTGAGACCCTAAATTTGAATGTGATTGGTAAGTTATAGATATAACGATAAACTTGCTTTCAAACACTTTATAATTTATGGTTTTTATAGGCTAATAACTAATCCAAATTATTGAAAAAATTTCTTATAATAATTCATTTTACAAAACATATAATATTTCAATTTTTTTTTAAATTTATAAGAACCAAATATCTATACTTCCACTACAAAGTTTACTCTAGCCCCTAACTTTTTTCTAGTATTTAGGTTCCAAGTTTTCTTTAAAAAATACTTGAAACAGTTCATGGAATCTACTAGCCTTATTTAACTATTAATCTTTAATGATTACAGATGATATAGGCTGCAGTCCAGGCTTCTATATATCTGTGACTGGAAATTGTCAGCCATGCCCATTTGGTTCTTACCAGTCAAATAGTAATCAGATGGATTGTGTTCCCTGTCCCGGCAATTTGTTCACTCTTGTAAGAGCTGCTTCTGATATTGCCCAGTGTGAAGGTATGATAAAAAAAAGAGATTTTTCAATACTATTGTAATAAACAACATTAATTTTTTAAAATTCAAATCATTGTATAACCATATAATGTAATCAGTGTATACCTATAAATAAATTCCGAAAAATTTAAAACATGTTTTAAATTAAAAACCATTATGAAATTTCAGCAATATTTTAACTGATGTTAAAATTTTATTTACTAACCATAAAATTATTGTTTATTTAGCTGTTCCAGCTGAAAAACTTCTATATTTGAGAATTACAATAAACAAAACACAAAGCTCATTGATTGATGCTGAAACAAAGGAGGCTGTAAAAACTAATGTAAGCTATGCCTAAATATAGAATCCTCATAGTTCTATTTTATTTCTATTTTAAATTTAAAAGGTAATATTGCATTTATTTTAAAGAGCATAAAATTTGATTATTGTTTTATCAATTACTTATACATTGATTTTGATTTTAGTTGAATGATGGATTTCTTTTCCTGAAAAATGTTGTTGGTGTTCTATTTTATAACATTAGGTAAGTATTGTTTTAATGGAAAAATATGTTTGTTGTGAGTTTGCATATAAATTAGGGTTTGGGGTAGACATGTGTTGTCCTCATTAATAAGACTTGTCAAATTTTCTAAGAAATTAAATTGATAATACATGTGTTTAATGTATTCTAATGATTTATAAAGAGAATTATTACTTGTATTGAATATCTGTCATTATATTAAAACTGTTTAATTATACTTATTATCAGTTTTATTAAAGGGATGACATAAAAGTATTATTTTGCTTTTAAAATTGTAGAAGTAAATAGAATCTATGCAATGGTTAGCTCAAATAAAGAATGAAATTAAATGAAAAAAATAATATTTTTATTTTAATATCAAATATATCATCTGCTATTTTTTTATACTCAAATTATATTCATTTGTTATACTCATTTGTATATTTAACTATTCTTATTTCTTTTTTTTTTGTCTTTGTAGTTCTGGTGTAGCTGTTGATGAGTAAGTATAAATGTATTTAAAAAAATAAATGTAATTAGGTTTTTTTAAAATTTAAAGATACCTAAAAACTGTACATTTCACAGTTTTTAGTTACCAAATTTTACTGTTTTCTAATGCTAAGTGAATAATATTAATCAATACTAAAAAAATCAACATATGTTTAAAATGATGTAGAATAGATTAAAGTGAATCTTTTTTTCTCTACAGGACAGCAATAACAGCTGCACTTGTATCCAGCACTACTGTACAACCTAACATGTATAACAGTGTGGGTGCTGAAATCTACAAGAAATACTATAACACACCTACAACAATTGACATCAGTGGTGAAAGTGTTGCTGTAAAAACTGTGAACATGTTTAAATCAGAAAGTGATTCATCTAATTTTGTCAATCCTGTTGGTGAGGATTTTTTTTTCTTAAATTATTTAAATAGTATATGCAATTTATAACTCTTTACAGTGCTGATAAAGATATTAAATGTATAAATACTTGAATTTAGGTTAAAGAGTTAGAAAGTAGATCAGTGTTGTATTGACCACTCACAAGGGATGGCATGGTCAGGCAGGAGAGCTTATGATTGCTAGGCCCAAACGCCCTTAATTTAAACCCTGAGTAGATAAGGCCACTAGCTGGAGGCAGCATCTTATGTTGGAGAAAAAAACTCCAAAATTAAAACAACTGCCTTGTAGATTGTCTTAGGTGGACAAAAGCTTTGAAAGCAAATCTAGAAATAAAAGCAGGTGCATAACATGTTTTGACATTAATACTCAACTGGAGGAAATCCCCAACAATAATAATAGGAATAAGAAGGAAAAATAAGAGAAAAAATGCCCCTAAAAATCTTCACTACCACAAACTCAGAAATTCTCTAAATTGTTGTTTTTATTCAATCCATACTTTCTAGTATGTAAATTTAACCTATTAACATTATCCCACCAATGACTTTTGTTATACAGATATAGATGAATGCAGTTTAACACCCAGGCCATGTGGCCCCTACGAGAGCTGTGAAAATGTCAATGGAGTGATAGGCAGCTTCACTTGTATCTGTATTACAGGATTCCAACGTTCAACACCATTAAGTCCTTGCTCAGGTATTTAAAGCTGATTAATAATAATAATAATATGGGACGGAGTGGTCTAGAGGTAGAGAGCTGGACTGCTAACCCGTAACTCTCGAGTTCGAATCCGGGTTCAAATCAGTAGACCGTCCCTGAGTCCACCCAGCTCTGTTGGGTACCTAACTCACGTTAGGGAAAGTAAAGGCGGCTGGGCATAGTGCTGACCACACTATCTCTTCATATGCCGAGGTCACAGAAACAAGTGAACTCTACTTCACTTGCCCCATAGACCATCAGGTTTGAAAGGGAAACTTTACTTTTACTTAAGAATAATAATAATAATATGGCTCCATAGTCTTAATAGACCATTGTATAATTACGCATTGGAAAATCCAAGCACAAAGCCTGGGCCCTAAGTTGAGAAGAGCCAGATGTTGCCCATGTATCAGGCCCCACCTCTCCACACAGCTGATTGACTAAAACATAAAATTTATATATAAATTTTGAAATACTTTGATAACTAATTACACATTTGTTTTCAGATGTGAATGAATGTCAACAACCCAACCTTTGTACTGGAAGTTTTGAGCAGTGTAAAAACTCAGTAGGAAGCTACACATGTGATTGTATTGATGGCTATACAAGAAGGGCACCACAAGATCCATGCTCAAGTAATACAGTTATATTATACATACAAAATTAGTTAATTGTATCGAAGCAATTTTAACTGTTCCATTTTATCATATTTCATTGTGAATTTGAATTTTAAAAGCTTTATTTTTTAATTATTTAAAAACCTGTTTTATTTTAAAAATAAATAAAAAACATGCATATTTTCATTTTTAAACTGTGATTGAAATTAACAGGTATAAAATCATTTTTAGCACAAGATATCAATCTTTTTTTTTTAAAAATCTCTGTATTTCTGAATGCAATATATATATATACATATGTGTGTGTGTGTGTTTGTATGTCAATGTATGTTTGTGTGTGTATTAAAACCATTACAGTTTATTATCAAGATTGTATTTTTTAAATGCAGACTTTGACAGATCCCAGCAAAGCCTATATCCTTACGGAGTGGATAAGGGAGACAACAAGCTCCCATCTGATTATTTTGCAGTCAGCCCTGCCATTACTTTTAATAATGGTCTTCCATTTGGAACTGAAAAGTTTTCTAACATATATGCAAGTACATTCAAAATATAATTATATACTTTTAACCAATATCATAAATAAAATTATAAATACTGTTAGTTTAAAAGATTTTATTTATATAGATTTCAAATCTAAAAATTAATCCAAAAAATCTAGCTCGTAATTTTATAATTTTATAATTGACTAAATATTTCAATTTTTATTAATTTTTTCCCTGCCTGTTGTTAGCAACTTAAGATTTAAGTAATATTGTTTATGAGTTTTAAAATTATGTTGTTACTTTCAGGTGTCTGCCAATGGCATGATTAGTGTTGGTAATTTACTGCAGTACTGGTACTGGGGTAACCTTAAGGATAGATACAGTTATGGACATAAAATTATCTGCCCCTTTATGACAGAAATACAGGTCAACAATGGTAAGTTAAATTAACATAAGTTGGAAAAGTTTTAAAAGTTACCTCAAAATTTGGAAAAGCTTTAAAAATTATCTCAAAATTTATCCTCTAAATTAGTTTACAAGAACAAATCTTCCAAAAAATTTCATCCATGAAAGACTATTTTATAAATTATACTTGACATTTTTTTCTTTATAGAATTAATGTCCCAAATATCATTTATTAAAAGCAGCACCAACACATAATGTTGATGTAGATATATGTATTACTGTAAAGTTACCCTGTCATACCTGGTTGTCATTAAGGAATATGAAGTATACTTCATCTTCTTCTGAGACCACAATATACATAATTATAGTTTTGTCCAATCTGTGGCAAGCCAACTTTTTTTTCCCACTAAATATGAGTAAAGTACCCTTTGAAACTGGATGGGCCCATGAGAATACTGCACATTTGAAATTATTGTTTAGCAATGTGTGATCAACCACCCGACCATAATGTACCATTATTTGTTGGTGTAAAAAAATTTAAACTTTCAAAATATTTGTTCTATACAAAATGATAGGTCTACATGTTTAAAAAAATTTATAAGTCTATATTAATCAATTATTATAAAGATAAAAAGCCCCTTATTTTTATTATGGATTATTGTTCAAGAAAAGCACACAATATTGAATAGTATTTTTTATACAAAAAGATTTAGTTTAAATTATGAAATCCAGTCTAATACTTTTTTCCGAATGATTGTTACAGACAGCAGCATACTCTATCAGCTGTACAAAAGAAGCTCTGGTCCTAATGAAACAACTGCAGCAAATATACAAACAGTTCTACAAAGGGCAGGTGCTGATATTCTGGACAACTTTGGTCTAACAGACTTTGTTCCCAACCAAGTACTTGTGGCTACCTGGGTGAAAGTAAAGGGCAGAGTGGATTACTACAACTATTACACCAATCATGTATTCATAAGAGAAGCTGTTAGTTTTCTTTTGTTATTTTGTTACATATTTAAAATTGATTTAAAGTAACAAGTGTTTAAAATTTCAGCATTATAATATAGAGTAATGTCATTATCCTTTTAGTATAACAACAAAAATAAATATCAAATTGCTTGTTTCTGTTTGAAATTGAAAATATTTTAAGAGTATCAATTCTTATTATGTTATTTCTTTTTTTATTATATTTTTTTTTATTCATACATTAAATGCATTAAATCTACTTTAAAAAAAATTGAATTAGGAGAAACCCAACCTGGCTACATTCCAAGCTGTTATTATTACTGATGGTATGCAGTCTTTCCTAATTTTCTTGTACAAATCTGGAGAGTTCAACTGGCCTTACATTAGAGGACAAAGCATTGGTGTTGGCTTTGTAAATGATGTTGAATATCAAGAACTTGTCGACCATGATAGTTACTTGCTATCTTCACTTGATGAAATAATTGGAAATAAAGGTAAGGCATGTAATTTTAATTAGCAATAAAGGTAAGACATAATTTTTAATTGGCAATAAAGGTAAGACATAATTTTAATTGGCAATAAAGGTAAGACATATAATTTTAATTGGCAATAAAGGTAAGACATAATTTTAATTGGCAATAAAGGTGAGACATATAATTTTAATTGGCAATAAAGGTAAGACATATAATTTTAATTAGCAATAAAGGTAAGCCATATAATTTTAATTGGCAATAAACATAAGCCATATAATTTTAATTGGCAATAAAGGTAAGACATATAATTTTAATTGGCAATAAAGATAAGATATATAATTTTAATTGGCAATAAAGGTAAGACATATAATTTTAATTGGCAATAAAGGTAAGTAATGTAATTCTAAAGCTTCTAAAATGTAGATTTAAACCTGTATTTTATCAGATTCTAACAATGCTATTCTGTTTACTAGGTCGATATGGAACATGGCTGGCTAAAATTGGTGAAATAAACAATGCAGCCCAGAGATGTGAAAATTTCTATACCGCTAACTCTTATTTACTGGCTGATCAAACATTCCAAGCACAAGTTGCAGGTAAGATTAGAATACAATATCATGTGAACATTAAATTTTAATAGAAAAAGATATTTTTGTATTTATTTTATACTTATGTTTCATATTTACACCTCATAAAATTTGTTATGTAGTAAGTATAAATTACTACCAATATAAAGATAATATTTGTCTCACAACAACAACAGTTGATTTCATTTATACAGCTGTATATTTTTGTTCTATGTAATGGTCTACAGTAATTATATTTTCTTTATAATTTGGTTATTGGTTAATCTGCAGGTCTTTTTGACTGCCCATGTAGTGTCACTCAAATGGGCAGACAATGGAGTCAGTTAAACATTGAAGGAAATAGGACTTGTTTTGCCCTCAATAGTCTAGTAACCAGATTTTTTGGTCACACTAGAAATAAGGTAATATACCAAATTAAAAAAAATACTATTTATTAAATAATTTTTTATACATATATTTGTTTTATAAAATGTAAATATTGGCCTATGTTGTTATTTAAAGAAATTTGATTATAAATTTAAACAACACTTTAAAAAATATAATATTACAAATAGTGACCTATTTATATATTTTACACAGATCTGTTGTTATAATTACAACCCAGCCTTTGGATGGTGGAGCCAGAGAGCAACAATGACATTCATATCATCACCACCCCATGCTGGTTATGTGACATTGTATGATCCCTTTTCTTGGAGCTCTTCTGTCAGAGAGTCAAGGATGTTTGACATTAACCCCCATAGGTGGTGCTGTGATGATTCAGACTCTGATTATTTATGCAGCTTGTTCTATACAGTGAGACCCAACAAAAACTGCAGCACACAAGCCATTATAATATCTGGTATAGCATTAGGTGATCCACATATGACTACAATGGATGGTCTGAAATACACCTTTAATGGGAAAGGAGAATTTATTATGTTCCAAATTCCCTCCGCCAAAATTGTAGCTCAGGTAATACAGTTTTTCAGTTATTTTATAGAAAATATGACACAATTTTTTTTTAAATGCACACATTAATTTAAAGTGTCATTTGTTTTTTTAAATATAGAAAGCTTTATGTTTAAACATTTCTCTTCAATTGGGTTTAAATAAATTTCTATTAAAATGAATTATTTATCTTTTAACTCTTATAAAAATTATAAATCTAAAAAAAATATATACATTTGGATAAAAATTCTTCAATTAAACTATTGTTCTGGTCAAATCCAGAAATTGGGAAATCAATAAAAGCCATTATTTAATCAAAAGTTCTAATTGTTAAATTAGTTGAATAAATTTAATGTTCTATCTTTCATTATGAACCTGTTAGCAATGTAATTAATTAACATTCTCTTATTTATCCTTAATAGGCTCGTACAGATATGGCCACTAGACAAGACGGTACTGAAATAAAAGGTGCAACAGTTTTTACAGCTATAGCTGTCAAGCAATATCTTACAACATTCCAAGTGGAGCTCACTTCTTCACGAGATAGTAAGAATTTATTCAGACATTTTCCACTGTAGTGTGTCACATAACATCTTATTGGTCTTCAAATAATCATGTATCTCTAGGTTTTTTGTGTAATACCCTACTAAACAATGTTTACTATTGTGAATTTTTAAACCTACTTTACTTAAAATGTAATGTAACTAAAAATATGACTGATTGTGTTACATCATTAAAAACTTGACTTGTTATAAGTAATGGTTAAAAAGTATTATATTCAAATTAAAAAATATTTAATAATTTAGTAAAAAAAAAAATAAGTAGTAATATTTTCCAATTCAAATTTGTTTCAGGAATGATAATTTATGCGAATGGACAAGATTTGACAACTGGATTTTATGGGGATTCAACGTTCAGCAAGGAAATAAACTCAACTCTGACTGTGGAGAGGATTGACGAAAACAATGTTACAAAAGTTATTGCCACTTTCTCATCTGGTGAGTGACTATAAAGCCTGTTTCTCATTTTTTTATTTGTTGCTGGTCAAAGAAAAATGCATAAAGCATAATCAGTCGCTCTTTGGTTAAAGGTTGAATAATTTAAATTAAATATTGTTTTTAAGTACTTTTATGCTAAAAAATACTAACATCAACACAAGCCATCCCACCCCCCCCCCTCACTTGTAGTCTGCCTTTGACCAATGAAAAATTTATGTATGTGGCCTCTACTGTCATAAGTGATTACAGTGCACATACACAGTTCTGCATTATATTTTTATCTTTTATGGTTCTTTGAATAAACTCCTCCCATTCTTTTAAAATAAACTATACTTACATGTTTTCTTTTGTTTTTAGGTGTTGAGATTTCAGTATTTGCAAGTGTGCGCAGTTTGATTCTAGAGTTTAAAATGTTAGTCACACTGAAAGGCTTAACATCAGGTCTACTGGGAAATTTTGATGGCAATACAAGCAATGAATATCAACTGCCTAATGGAACTACTCTCAGCCCCAACCTGACTGAACGTCAGATATACTACGATTTTGGAAAACATTGTGAGTAATAATATAATTAATAATTATTTGCACATAGGGTTATTTATCTTTCTAAATATGGAAATCTGAATAAAAAGTAGTGACATTCACTGTGTATAGAGTAGCTTCTATTTTAGTCCTTTAATTTTGGTTTTGAATTAGCCAAATAAAAAAATCTTTTAATATGCATCTTAGACTATTGGAAGTGTTTTATTTTTATAAATTTTATTTACTCATTCAAATCAAAGATGAGTTCAAGAACAAGCATACTTTAACTAAATTGTAAAAGCTGTTTGAGTTTTATTATTTGATGTCATAATCATTTTAATTTACCTATTAAAAAAACTGTTGTTTTTTTTACAGGGGAAGTAACTGCAGAAAACTCAGTCTTTACATATCCAATAGGAGAATCAGCAGCAAATTACAGTTATCCCAACTATGTTCCATACTTCTTGGAAGATTTTAATGCTACATTGCGTCAGTCAGCCATAAGTTTATGTGGAGAAGGAAATGACCCTTGTATTTTTGATTACCTCATAACCTCTGACCCCTCATTCGCTCAAAACACTAAGACATTTAATGATGAGGGAGACAAAACTCGCAGAACCTTAGGTGAATTCATGTTTTAATCTTGATTTTAAATGAATTTATGATAGACCGAAATCAGTTAATTTTTTCATCATTTATTAAACAAAAAAGTGTTGCTGTTAAACAAATACTATGCTAATTCTCATAAAAGTGGTGAAGTATTGTAGCCCACGTCAAAATTCAAGCGTGGACTCAGTAATTTTAAGATTTATACCAGACCAAACTAAAAAAAATCTTATCAGTATCCTTGTATAATCCCAATCTTTTATGTAGTATGCCTAGTATCTGTACTGTTTTTGTCTTAATTATATAAATAAAAAAATAAGATTGTTACCTAGTTCCATTAAGCTTTGATTAATTTTTAAAAACTGTATTTTACATTCCTTCAGAGAACACAGTGCCAAGTATTTCCCTGATAACAGCTCCTGGTGCCCATGGTGGCATCAGTGTCACAGAGGGTCAGACTGCAACATTGAGGGTCAATGCCACTGACCCAGATGGTGACTTTGAGAAATACGAGCTCGTTGAATCACCAGCTGGCGTAGAGTTAAATCAGTCGGGTTTTATTTTCTACACACCAAATCCTAATACACCTGTTACAATCAGGTTAGTAGTTTGTTTCACACATTTTATTTTGTTAACTTTTTAACAAACCGAAATAAGCAGTGCCTTATTAATCTTGATTCAGTATGATTGCAGCCAAAGCTGTAACACAATTTTAGTGTGGTGTAGCCTACACATTCAAATAGGTATTTTGCTTTTTAAAAACTACAGTTTGGATTCTCTTTATGTGTAACTAGTTTTAAATTACCTATTAAGATTATTCTTCTTGAATATCAAAGGAAACACATTTTTAATATTTAAAGATTTCAAGACCAATGATATTTTTTTAGAATATGAAGGTGTATTGAGTTTTTATACTATTTAGTAGGCCATACATTGGAGTAAAAAAGTGGAAAATTTACCATTACAATAAATCATTTTAAAAATTCCACTCTATGCTGTTTATGGTATTTGTATCGTGAGGTACAAAACTAAAATTATTGTCCAGATTTTATCAATTTTTCTTGTATATACCTCTCAAGAATATCTTATTGACCTTTATTATTACCTACATAAACTGCAACAGTATGATAAGCTCAGCATGTCTAATGAAGAAAGTATATTTCAGTGTTGTGGCAGTGGACAGTGTAGGTGGGAGATCACCAGCTTTAACAATCCCTGTTGTAGTCTGCACATTGTGCAGTGGACATGGTCAGTGTGATGGGAACAATGTGAGGCTGACCAGTGAAGAAGGTGGAAATTTCAAGAAGCTTGTGTGTCTCTGTAGACCTGCATATACAGGTAAGTCAATGTGATTATATAGGCTTATAGCTTTTTTTTAAAATATAAGAATAATCTTAAAATGTTAAGGCATTTTAATTAAATAGGTCTATAGCTTTTTAAATATAAGAATAATCCATCACTAGTATAACACCATAATTATGTACAACTACTTTAAATGTAAGAAAAATATTGCAATAGAAAGGCATTGTAATTATTTATCTCCTCTTTCATTATTTTTAGGATATAGAGATGATTTTTAACTTTTTATTAAATATAAAAATTATACTTTGTCAGTATGTACTGTAAATGTCATTAATTATATAGTCCAGGCTTTAGAATCATATAGTTTTATGGTGATTTATCATGGCTTATTCCCCTTGCATATTACAAAAGCTGCCATAATTATTTGGCTAGAAGTAGGCCCTATTATATTAGTACAATGTATTTTTTGTCTTCCATTTTTAACTCTTTTTTTTCGGCTAGCTAAATTATTAAAAGTTACATGTAATTGTCTCTGTAACAGTCTGTCCAGTGACATTGAAGTTTTAATGTTTACTTTTGTAGGCCCAGATTGTGAAGCAGATCTAAATGCATGTGCAGACAACCCATGCAGCCAAGGGCAAGAATGCAATGACACCCCAGCTTTAAGCCAAGATAAAGATGGAGCTAGCAGCTATAGTTGTGGACCATGTCCATCTGGATTTCAAGATGTCAATAATAGATGCATAGGTACTTTTGAATTAAAAGCAATACATTTTTAAACAGATAAATGTATGTATAAATATCAAATTTGTTAGAGGCCTCAAAATATTACGTTTTAATTAGCATATTTCCAAGCAAAAAATAATTGAATAGCAAGCACAATAAATTCCACACAATATGATAGGGAAAATCCTTTTTCTAAATTAATATATTAAAAAAATCAATGCAATTAAATAAAATTGATGTGTGATATGTTTGTTGTAATGTTGTTCTTAAATTGGCAAATTATTAATAACACATCCCTAAAAACATTAATTTAATATGAGGTAGGCCTATTTGACGTTTAATTTCCAAACTCTTTACAGAGATAAGTCTCTACACCCCCAGTATATAAAAACTATCATGATTTTTATTTATTCTAGAGCACTATATATACCTAGTAATAGGCCTATCAACGCTAAAGGGAAGCTACTCTATTTTTTAGTATATAATTGCAATCTCAATGTCAGCATTAATTTTTATTAGATATAGTTTCAACTGAATCCATTGTTTACACTTGTTTATTTTTAGATATTAATGAGTGTTCAAATAACCCTTGTAGTCAACAATGCACAAACAGCATTGGATCCTATTCATGTAGTTGTAACACTGGTTTTAGGCTAAACACACAAGATAGAAGAACCTGTATAGGTAATGTAAATTATTCTGATCTTATTTTTCATCACACGTATTTTTATATCCATTTCTTTATTTTATATTACTCTTTAAGTATACAATAATTACTTTAAATAAAAGTAGTTTTAAAATTTGAAAAAATGGAATACAAATAAAAAAAGTAGGGCTTTTCTAATAATCAACTTACAAACTACTTTGTCCACTGACCTTAATCTTATTGCAGACATTAATGAATGTAGTGAGAGAACACACAACTGTCAACAGAAGTGTACCAATACTGAAGGGTCTTTCACCTGCAGCTGTGAAGCAGGGTATACTTTACAAAATGACGCCAGAACCTGTCAGCTTTGTAAGTAGAGGAAAAAATAAACAGAAAAATAAATCACTTTTTATTAAATAAATGTATTTAAAAGATTGTTTCAGTGAATTAATCAGCTTGAATTTCTAAAAACATTAAATTGTGAATATAATTTTAATTAACCTGTTGTTGAATATACATTTTTAAAGCTCTATATATCAGTTATTTATTTTTATGTGTCTATACCATATTTTATTTATATTTACTATGTTTATATTTATCAGTATATATTTTTAATTTTATTTCTTATTCATTTTTATTTGTATCTATACTATATTTTTATTTATATTTACTATATTTATATTTATATATTTTTAATTTGGAGATTAAAGTAAGGATACATAATTTTGGCAGTGCTGGTCAATAACTAGTGAAGTTGAGCTCACTTATTCTGTGGCCACTGCATATGAAGGCATAGTGTGGTCAGTTGTTTGCCCTGCCATAATTATTCTCACTAAACAGAGCTGGTTGGACTTACAGATGTCCCACAAACTCAAGCATGTGATCCGAACTCAAGACTTTTGTATTAGCAAGCGTACTCGCTATCACTAGACTACACCATCCCAAAGTATCTCTAATTGATCTAATTAATTCTTCTACTGACAAAGCTTTATCTAATGAAAATAAATGTTTGTATACAGCAGTGAGCTCATCGGCTTGTTCAAACTCCATGTGCAGCCAAGTTTGTGTCCTTGATGTCAGTAACAATCCTGTATGTAGCTGCAACTCTTTCTACCAAATTTCTTCCCAAGACCCAATGTCTTGTGTTGGTATGTAGATTCTAATTGCATTATTTTAAGCTTAAAAATTGTTTGGTTTTAAAAAAATAATCTATTAAAAGTATATTAGCAAATGGAAAAATTAGCTGAATATGTTATAATGAAGTTTTTGATGAATCAATTATTGATCAATCTGTTAGATGTCAATGAATGTGAACTAGCAAACCAACCATGTGACCAGATATGCACCAATAAAAATGAAGGATATGAATGTTCCTGTCATCCTGGTTACAAACTTTCATCAGATAAAACAACATGCCTTCGTAAGTTTTGCCCTAGAACACATCAGATAAAATATTATGCCTACGTAAGTTTTGCCTAGAACAAATGAGATAAAATATTATGAGTATGCAAGTTTTGGCTATAACAAATCAGATACAACATCTTGCCTACGTAAGTTTTGCATAGAATGCATCAGGCCTATGTAAGTTTTCCCCCAGAACCAATTTATTTTCAATTGGTTGATTAAGAGTGTCATAATTTTCACTAATTGGTTTTCAGCAGAATAAACCAGTTTAATCATTTTGTAAGAAATAAAAAAAATATCTATAAAAATCATCATCTTTTCCCGTTCGTTCCCAACACACATGGGGCAGATAAAGTAAAGTTAATCTGATTCAGGTACCTCAGCAAAAGAAGAGATAGTGTGTTCAGCACTGTTCCCAACCTCCTTTGCTTTCCCTAACAAGAGTTAGGTACCCATCAGAGTTGGGCAGACTCATTGACGCTCCACAGACTTGAACCCAGAATCGAACTCAAGAATTTTGGGTTAGCAGCCAAGCTCTCTACCTTTAGGCCATGCCGTCTCAGAGCTATAATAATATTGACTTTTATCAAATGAATTCATAAACCTTTGATTACCAATCATTAAGTATAGAAACAAAAATTTCTTGTGTGATTGCAATCTGTTTATTTAATATGTATATTCTCACCAGCCTGTGAAAGCCCAAGTTTTGGCCTCAACTGTGCACAGACTTGCTTGTGTGGTGGCCGTTCCCTGTACTGTGACAAGGTCTATGGCTGTGTGTGTCAGTCTGGCTGGACTGGCTCAGGCTGTGATGTCAACATCAACGAGTGTGAAGGCAACAATCCATGTGGCATCAACCAAGTCTGCCAAGACCTGGAGGGAGGCTATCAATGTCTTTGTGCTGATGGATATAAGCGTGTCAACCAAAGTTGTGTTGGTAAATTGTGTTTTAAGTGCTTTTTTTGTTATTAATTTATATAATTAATGTGATTTTTTCCAACACAATTAAGTATTTTGTGTCAACATGTTATGTGTTATATGGCCTCTTAACTCTGGTTTATGTCTGCTTTTTTATCTGGGTGTGCTTCAGTAGTCTTTGTCCAACAAAGATTAAACTAGAAAGCAGCAGTTGTTTGAATTATGAGTTCTCTCTTCTAGATGGGTTTCTGTTTGTACCATATTAACATTTAAGTCTGTATAATATTAACAGGTATATTAAATCTTAAAAATACACATATTTGTTTGTAATCATAGTCAAGCTAATAATGCTTTGCTCCTAGATGTGAATGAATGTGATGATGTCTTGACCCACAACTGTGACTTGTCCACACAACTTTGTAGAAACACACCTGGTAGTTTTACCTGTGACTGTATTGCTGGCTACTACAAAAATACTGTTGGATCGTGCCAAGGTAATCATTTTACTAAATTAAACCATAGAAAATAATTTAATGTTTCTTTAACGTTATTGTATATTTGACTTAATTTTCAACATCTTTAGCAGGAAATAATAAAATGAATATAATTAATCAAATACTTGAGACTTAGTTTTGATTAATCTAAAACTTCTAACCTACTACCTTATTTAATTAATCCACTACCGTGTCTTTCACACAGCCTGAATACTTCACCCATGGTTTGTTTTGATATAAGTGGATTATAACTACTTAACACATACTATAGAAATAACAAAATTACAAGCAAAATAGCACATTAATGTTCTTATTAAGAGATCACTTTTATCATGTTTTTTTTTTATAAAATAATATACCCTTTTCTATTCACTTAATTATATTATAAATATCAGGATAATTTGGAATTGACTTCACCATTATAAATTATTTTTAAATCTATTTCAATTCATAATACTAATATAGAATGATTTATAAAAACGGATGAATGTGTTTGTCAAGGGAGGTAATTATTTTATTATTTTTTATTATTTACAAGATATTGATGAATGCTCAAGCAACACACATAACTGTCAGCAACTGTGTAACAACAACTTGGGGGGATTTAGTTGCAGTTGTTACTTTGGCTTTAGGCTGGATGATATAGATAGAACAAAATGTGTGCAGAGTAAGTTCTTTACATTTTTTTTTAAATTTAATACATTTAGCCTAAAAAGTTTTCTTGAATCACAAGAACTTTAACTGTGTACAAAAAGTCATTGTTCAGCTAATTCAAATTTCGTATTGCTAATACTTTATAAAAGTATAAATTTCTATAGTATTGAGGATCTAGTGATCCATTTGGCAGAAGAAGTAGAGTTCATGTTCATAACCTCGGCAAATAAATGGATGGTGTGGTTAGCACTATGACAACCACCTTTACTTTCCCCAACATTAGTCAGATATTTATCAGAGCTCAGGGACATCCTACAGTCACAAATCTGAATGGAGATCCAAACGCAAGACATTCATTATAGCAACCAAACGCTCTACACCAACACTGTCCCACACTAACACTTCATAAAATTTAGAAAATAAAAAATTTGCAATGCTCCACTTATATAAAAACACGTGTGTTTAATTAAGAATAGCTTTACCACTAACATAAACCGATAGGTTAATTTGAATGTCTTTAATCCACAGGTCAAGATGTGTGTAAGGATGTGTCCAACTTGAACTGTGCTCACGGCTGTACTGTAAAATTTGAAACTAAAGAAGCATTTTGTTACTGTAACTCTGGGTACACTCTAGCAGCTGATAAACAAACATGTCTAGGTAAAAATTTTATGTGTGGTTTAATCTAGTTTTTTCTAAAACAAAAATATTGGTATTTTCATCCATTTTTTCTGTTTTTAATTGGAATATTGGAGGGGATTTCTTCCAAAATTATTTAATATTTCATATGCTATGTGTAGTTGAATCAACCTTCTTTTCTTTATGGATTTCATTCCATACTATTTGTCTATCCAAGAATAATCTGCTAGGCAGCAGTTGTTTGATTTTAAGTTTGTTTCCCCAAGATGAGCATCATCTCTTGGTGGTGCAAACTCAGGATTTTTGTATTAGCAGTCATGCACTCTCCCAGCCAATCATTCTCTTCCCTACATATCTTCAATTTGTTGGATTCATTTTTGCTATGCTAATAATTAGTAAAAGTTTAATATATATTTATCATACTATACTGTCTTTTCTTAGATATTAATGAGTGCAGCAACATGACAACCAATCGCTGCACCTATAAAGAGAGATGTCTCAACACAAATGGAGGCTACACCTGTTCCTGTCCTGCTGGATTTAAACTAGAGAATGATCAAAGAACATGCTCAGGTATAAAATATACCAACCTAATATTTACATAACTTTTTTCAACTCATCCTACATTGTTATACACTAATAATTTTAAATTTTATATTCTTTTACACATTTCATTTCGATTAGTTGTAAAAACTTTTTATCTTTTTTAACTAAACATGCGATGTTTTAAAAGGATTAGTTTTTCTTTTATAAATATATATATATATATATATATATATATATATATATATATATATATATGATGTTAATATATGACAACTTCAGGATGTGAGGGTGAGACTTGGGGTGTGAACTGCTCCAACTCCTGCTCCTGCTCTGGTGGCGCTCAGTCATGTCACCCTGTCACTGGATGTGTCTGCAGGACAGGATTCACAGGTAAAACAACATCAAATGAAATAAACATTTTTCATTTGTATTCTTAGAAAAATCTGGCTGCATGCATGAATTAATTCAACACACCAGGTGTAAATTTTAGTGTTTCTGGTTTGTGTTTATTAATTACAAATTTTTAGCTTGGCGTTCATAGACATATATTTATATTGATTTAAAGTGAGTCGTATGTTTATCCATTCCCCCTTCTTACCTAGATACAACACTAAATAATTAAACATTAAATCTAATTTTCTTGAGTCCTTGGTAAAAGTTAATGTACAATGATGGCTAATTATCTGAACTCATAACATGCTTGGTTTAAGCTGATTTATATATTGGCTGCTCTTTAACTAAATAAAAATAAAAATACTAGTTTTATACAAGTGTGTTAATACTGCTGCAGTTAATGCCACATTCTATCTATCTATTCAGGCAGGTACTGTGATTATGACATCAATGAGTGTCAGACAACTACCTCTCCATGTCAACTACCTGAGGTGTGTGTTAACACTGTTGGCTCCTTTGTGTGTGAGTGTCCACCAGGATACAAGAAAAACAATGGAACTTGTGCTGGTAACTAAGCTATAAATACTCTTTAGGCTTAGAATTATCTGTGCTGTTTGCAAGAGAAACAATGAAACTAAAATATAAATACTCTTTAGGCTTCATATGGTTAGGTCCTATGAACAATTTTTTTCAAAGAGCTAACTGTGCTGTTCCCAAGATAAGAAACTTTAAGATTAGTAATCATAAATAAGCTGCTTGAGTAAATAGAGCAGAATGTTATCTCCGATGTCAGTTTTAACACCTACCATCTCACTTCTCAATTACCCCCCCCCCCCCCCAGCCCACTGTTTAACACCCCTACTTATGGTAGGAAAATACCCATCTGACACACCATCTCCCCACTTGTATTCCAACAACTCCAAGTAATGTCTAAGTTACATGAGTAAAAGGGTTGAAGAATTAAATATAAACATGGTCTATATATATTATTGGATATGTATTTAATATTTAATTTAATGTTTTAAAAACATAGTGACCTACAATGTGCAAATTATTAATATATTAAATTTGTATCATTTTTGGTTTTTAATATAATTCACTTAATTTATAAAATAAATAATAAAATAAAAATAATAAATGTATTTTGTAAACATTTAAATTTTATTTCCAGATGTAAATGAATGTCTGAACTCAGCACTGAACAACTGTGATCAAGACTGCACTAACTATCCAGGAGGATTCTCCTGCAAATGTTTTCCTGGTTTTATATACAACACTACAGAAAAGAGATGCTTTGGTACATTTTAATTGTTTTTATTAATATGATTAGCTATAGTTTACTAATATCATTAGCTATAGTTTACTAATATCATTAGCTATAGTTTACTAATATCATTAGCTATAGTTTACTAATATCATTAGCTATAGTTTACTAATATCATTAGCTATAGTTTACTAATATCATTAGCTATAGTTTACTAATATCATTAGCTATAGTTTACTAATATCATTAGCTATAGTTTACTTATATCATTAGCTATAGTTTACAATTTTAAAAATCGTACTTTAAATTGATGTATCCTTTAAATAAATTATTTTTATAAAACAGATGTTGATGAGTGTGCTAAGGGGACATCACTGTGTACTCAGGGTTGTATTAACACAATAGGAAGCTACAGGTGCTCTTGTGGGAGTGGTTTTCTACTTGCTGATGATGGTGTATCTTGTACAGGTAAACTGAAAAGTTATTATTTTACCCTTTTCATTTCATATGTAGACCATAGATAGAAATATTCCTCTTGATTCTTGATGTCACATAACCTTGAATATCTTGTACATTAATATATTTAAAACAACTTTTTTGTTAGTGTAATTATAAAAATAATAATAATAAAAATAATAATAATATAAAATAAAAATGAGGATAAATTTCAATGCAGTTTTTGTTTACATTTTAAATTAACAATGTTTGAGATATAATATTATTTTTGTGTCCAACAGCTATCAACTCCTGTATGAATAAGAATTGTGCATCAACCTGTGCTGTGGTGAATGGTATGGAAACCTGTTTCTGTCCCAAAGGCCAAATAGTTGACAGCAACAATGAACTTCAGTGTCAAGGTAAAAATTAACCACCTGATTCTACTTAAACTTTCTTAAAAAAATATTTTTGCTCATGTAGACATAATTTATGAGTAAAAAAAATCCTCTTTAGAACTAGCTATCCATTGGGCAGATGAAGTAGAGTTCATATGTTTCTAGGCCTTGGCATATGAAGGGAAGGTGTTGTCAGCGCTTTACCCAGCTGCCCTTACTTTTCATAACGTAAGTTAGGTACCCATCAGAGCTAGGTGCACTCAGAGACATTCTACTGACTTGGACCTGGATTTGAACTTGACACTTTCGGATTATCAGTCCAGCGCTATATCACTTAGGCCACATAATGTATAACCTAGTTCTATTTTCTGCTTTCCTATATCTTTTTAATTTGAAGAATCAAAATGCACATTTTGGTGTTTTATAACATAATATTCTGTTGAAATAACTGCAAAACCTTCTTTATCTATGTAGATGTAGACTTGTGTGCCTCAAAGCCATGTGATCAAATGTGTGAGGAGAATGCTGATGGAACAGAATTTGTTTGCAGCTGTAGAGATGGCTACATCTTAGCAGAAGATAAAGTGTCGTGTAAAGGTAGCTGCATTTTACCTCCTAATTTTAAAAATGATTTTGCTGTCATATTACATATAAGTTTCCTAAATATGGACCTAAAAACTTAATAACATTATTTCTAGGAAAAAGTAAATTAATCAAAGTTTGTGTAAAACCTGTTTGCATATTTTAGCTTAAAAATGCTATTAAATTTATAGTGCATTAGATATGATTTCTATTTATTTAAAAAATTGAGAGTTATGGTTCTTGAATAAGTAAAAATGTATTTTTCCATCTAACAAATCAGAATGTCCATTTGGAAAGTTTGGTGCTGCCTGTTCTGGTACATGCTCTTGTAAATTTGAAAACACAAAACTTTGTAGCTCATCAAATGGTTCCTGTGAATGCAAGCCTGTAAGTGTTTTCTAAATGAAATAAAACAAAATTCATATAGAAATTTAGAAAATAAAATGTAATTTGTTTATCAAGTCTGATGAAAAAGAGCAATTATTATTTTAACCTTTTTTTAAAATCATTCAAACAGGGCTGGACTGGAGTAGACTGCAGTACAGACATCAATGAATGCCTTGGAAGCCCTTCACCATGTCCTGATGCAAACAGCCAGTGTATTAATGCTCAAGGCTCTTTCTACTGCAAGTGTAATAATGGTTTCATTCAGAAAAATCAGTCTCAAAATGATTGTTATGGTGAGTTTTTTTTTTTTTTAGGAGGAAAAGAAAGCTGGCTAAAGCCACTTCAGGATACAAAATTTCATGCCAAAGTTTTTAAGGTTAATGGTTGAATTTTCAAATTTTGATCATCTACACATGGTAATAAGCTTAAATGCTTGTAGGCCTTACCATCATTAACATAATGGTTATTTAAATAAATGCTTTTCAGAATGTGATGAGAACTTTTATGGAGCTGATTGTGCATCAGTCTGTAGCTGTAACTCACAAACTTCAACATGTAACAAAGTTACAGGTGCCTGTTCATGTAACCCCGGATGGGAAGGGACCAACTGTGATGTGGACATTGATGAATGTGCAAGAAGTATGACACCATACAAAACAAGTTTTACTGTTCTTATTTTATAAAATTAAATTTAAAATAAATTAATTTACTTTTACGTATTATTCCCTAGACACCCATAACTGTGGTGCCACTAAAGTTTGTGTCAACACCTATGGATCTTACAGGTGTGATTGTCTACCTGGTCATCAGGTCAATGCCTCAAATCTTTGTGAAGGTAAAACACAGTAGTCTTTTTTTTAAAATAAATACTAAAGTAAATGTTCAGAATGATTGTTGAGACAGTGTTAACATCATCCACTGCTTAAAGGCTGGGATAAAAACAAATTTAAAGAGAGAAGCTAATTTCTATAGCTAACATTGCATAATACAAGTGAAAATAAGATAACATTCCATAGGGAGATCACTCATAAATAATTTAAAAAAAACCTATTGCAACAACTACAATGACAACAGACAAATGAGAGTCAAGACATTTAACAATCTATACTAACAACATTTCTGTTGTCTACAACATCTTGACAGACTACATGTTAACTTCTACAGGATTATTACTGTATGATCAATTAGGCTTAAAAAATATCACATTACCTAGCACTGATCAAGGTAAAATACACAGAACCAAAAGCTACATACTAAACAACAATAAAATGACTGCTTCTGACCTAGCATCCTGTCTAGCTTATACAACTTTACTTTCTTACACATCAAATGTTTACTTCATTAACATTTAAAGGTGTTTATCAGACTGTGGTATTTAAGAAAAAAATGATTCATAAGTTTAAATAAACTATAATACCATTACATTTGTCGTGTTAAACATTTAACTATTAATTCCAATATAAAAAAAATGCAAATAAATTTTCTGTAAAATTCTGCAGATATAAATGAATGTATAAACAATCCATGTAGCTCTAACAAAATCTGCTACAACACAGAAGGATCATACACATGTACTTGCCCATCTGGCTATTCATTAGCAGCAAATGGAAGTTGTGTTGGTACGTGCAAATTACTCTTCTTTCATTCTTTCCTGTTAATAAAATATTTTACATTTTCTCATGTGTAAGCAATAGTTTCTTAAATGAAAAATAAATTATACTAATTAAAACTTTTTATTCCAATGGCTTAAAAAAATTTTAATTAATGTATCTCTTCATGTTATTTATATGTATAACAATTCATTTCTGAAGTTCAAGAGTAAACAATTATTCCATAAAAAGCTTACCAGTATTTTGTTGCAATTTACTATTTTTTATTTTAGATATTGATGAATGCTCCAGCAACCCATGCACCTCAAATAAAACTTGCTACAATAATGTTGGTTCATACACATGTACTTGTCCATTAGGCTACTCATTAGCAGCCAATGGCAGCTGTGTTGGTATGTAGGTTAACTGATAAAATAAATCTATAAGATAATAATACAATAAAATATATTTTTGATTATTTAAAATATTTGGTTATAAGTAGATGGAGTATCATGTTTTTAATATAAATTATAACTGCTGCAAAACATTGTAAATGATAGGAAAATAATTAAAAAATCTTTCAAAATAAAACTTTTTTTTCATAATATCCATGTATGCATTTATTTTAAAATTAACTTAATTTCTACTGTAGTAATTGTAAAAAAAATGGTATATTTTGTCTTCACAGATATCAATGAGTGCTCCAGTAACCCTTGCACCTTAAATAAAACTTGCATCAATACAATTGGTTCATACACATGCAATTGTCCAATGGGATATTCGTTGGCAGCTAATGGCAGTTGTGTTGGTATGTAGACAATTATTTCTTGTTATTTATATAAAAGTAAAAATAAAAGTGTACTTGATACACTTGGTGAGGCTTTAACTTGTCACACACTGCAAAGTGATCTCTTAACCACAACTAAAATAAACAAATATTTGTTTCACAAAATTCAATAAAAAAAAATTAACCAAAGTGTCTTCAACAATTAATTGATTTTTTTCGGTGAATCTATTATGGTGGTACATAGATGAATACTGTTTTCAATACAATGACATAAACATCTCTTATCTTTTATAGTATATTCCTGTTCCACATTCTTGATATTTCAATTACCACCATGGAATTCGAACAATGATTTACTGTCTTTTTTTTGTAGAATCACCTTTACAACATTGAAATCCTTTAGAGTTATATGACTAAAGTGTTGTAAGAGTCTAATTAAATTATTGTTATTGTATGTTAATTGTACTTACAGATATCAATGAATGCACCAGCAACCCATGCTCAACAAATCAGACCTGCATTAACACTGTAGGTTCCTATACATGTGACTGCCTGTCAGGTTATTCATTGGCTGCAAATGCTAGCTGTGTTGGTATGTATAACATAGTTCAAATTTTACAATTTAAACATGCATCCTTAGCCGTAATATAAACATTCTTAATATAACACCATAAAAATAAATTGTTAACATTTTTTTAAAAAGCAATTATACTAATTTATTAATCATTAAAAATTGTGATCATTTAATCAAATACAAATTCAATACAAATTACATTTTTTTTATTTAAAAGGAATAAATTATCAACACAAAATAATCAAATAAAACTAAGGGCTTAATATTATCTTTGCAGATATTAATGAATGCACAAGTAACCCATGTTCATCAAATAAAGTTTGTTACAACACTGCTGGTTCCTACACATGCAACTGTACACTGGGCTATTCATTAGCAGCCAATGGTAGCTGTGTTGGTAAGTAGAAAAATAGAATCTTTATAGTCTTGATAACTTGATCATTAATATCAATTCAATAAACATTAATTATTTCTTGGCGTTTCATAATCAAAACTGTTATTACTTATAAGTTTATAATAACAAATGTGTAGGCCTTTCCTGATAGTGCTGTTACACAAACAATTAAATCATATTACAAAACTATTGGTTTATGTTCAAATAATTTCAAAATGGGTTTTCTATTAGCAGTCAGCGATATGTGTGTTGGTTAGTTCATATTTTAGGTATAAAATATTATTTGAAAACTATTTTTTACAAAAAAATAAAAATAAGTACCAGAAGAAAGAGAAAATAATTATAACAATTGTATTGAATTTTAAAAAAAAATCATAATTAAAAAAAATAATAATAATCTTTCTTGATATTAACTTGTTTTACATCAAAGTAAATGTGAAATTTAACAATTTAACAAAAACACAATTAAAAACGAAGTTTATATTTTCTTCACAGATATCAATGAGTGCAGCAGTAACCCTTGCACCTCTAATAAAACTTGCATCAATACAATTGGTTCCTACACATGCAATTGTTCAATGGGATATTCAATGGCAGTCAATGGCACATGTGTTGGTATGTAAAAATATATTTTGTTTTGTTGTATAAGAGTAAATAAATGAAAAATACTGATATACTAAACTTTAGCTTTTCTACTACTAAAATTTGCCAAATACATTAAACATTAAAATTTGAGGCTTGTTAAAGCATTCATAATTATTACCATCATGGAAATGGAGACAATATTTTACAATCTTGTTAGATAACATCGATTTAAAAAAAAAGAAATTATTCAAATTTGTATCAATCTAAATAATTATTTAAAGCACTTTAGCTGAGCTGAATTTTTACCAGAAGTTAATGGTACTTTTAGATATCAATGAGTGCTCCAGTAACCCTTGCACCTCAAATAAAACTTGTATCAATACCATTGGTTCCTACACATGCAATTGTCCAATGGGATATTCATTAGCAGCCAATGGCAGCTGTGTTGGTAAGTAAAATTATGTTTTGTTTACTGGAATAAAAGTAAAAAAGTGAAAAATACTTATATACTAAACTTAAGCTTTTCAGATACTTAGTAACTACTAAAATTTGTCAATACGTCTAATATTAAAATTTGACACATGTTAAAAAATTCAGCATTATTAGGTCATCATGGAAATGGTGACAATATTTTACAATCTTGTTAGATAACATCAATTTAAAAAAAAAAATTATTCAAATTTTATGACTAAATAGTTGAAAGAATCCAATGATTTTTTTAAGTACTTTAGCTGAGTTGAATTTTTACCATAAGTTAATGGTACTTTCAGATATCAATGAGTGCTCCAGTAACCCTTGCACGTCTAATAAAACTTGCTTCAATACAATTGGTTCCTACACATGCAATTGTTCAATGGGATATTCAATGGCAGTCAATGGAACATGTGTTGGTATGTAAAAATATATTTTGTTTTGTTGTATAAAAGAAAATATATGAAAAATACTGATATACATTTTATTTTGTTGTATAAAAGAAAATATATGAAAAATACTGATATATACTAAACTTTAGCTTTTCTACTACTAAAATTTGCCAAATACATTAAACATTAAAATTTGAGGCTTGTTAAAGCATGCATAATTATTACCATCATGGAAATGGAAACAATATTTTACGATCTTGTTAGATAACATCAATTTAAAAAAAAAGAAATTATTCAAATTTGTATCAATCCAATTAAGAATTTAAAGTACTTTAGCTGAGTTGAATTTTACAGGAAGTTAATGGTCCTTTCAGATATCAATGAGTGTTCCAGTAAACCTTGCACCTCAAATAAAACTTGTATCAATACCATTGGTTCCTATACATGCAATTGTCCAATGGGATATTCATTAGCAGCAAATGGCAGCTGTGTTGGTATGTGTGTAACATTATATATTGAAATAAATGTTTGATACAAATAAAATTAATAAAAAGTGAAAATATTTTAATATTTTTTTACTTATCTGTATTTCATGATAATATTTGAACATTAATTTAAAAAATATATAAATAAATATATATTCTGTAAGCTCTATTTCAAAGTATTTTTTATTTATTTTCAAAATAGTTTTCTGTAAAAATGCTATCTTAATACAATTTCTAAACATTACAGATGTTGATGAATGTGCAACAATAAAACCATGCCAACAAAAGTGTACTAATAGTCCTGGTGGATACAATTGTTCTTGCTATGATACTTTCACAATGAACAGCAATGGTACATGCACATGTGAGTTCTTTATTAATTTTCTTTTCTAAAATTACCAATTCATAATAAACATTTTTATATTTAAGACTTTAATAATCTTTTTACTTAATCACCTGTTTTTATCCATGCTAAGCTATTGCATTAATAACTTTGAAAGTAATGTTAATCATTAACAAATATATTTTTTGATCTTTTTTTCCCACAGTGATTTATTCAAAGCTCTTTGAAATTAGGTTCCCCTTTTTTATTCCGCCTGACATTTTATTTGATAAAAACTCAGAAGAATACAAAGCCATCATGAAGGAACTCCAGAGTGGTGTGAGTGTCTTGAATACTCAGTTTGTAGAAAGAACCTTATTTTAAATATTTTTAAAAATATTAACGTCTAACAGCTAGATTGTAAAGTTATATGTATGTATATTAGAAATATTATTAAAAATGTAAAAATTATTGTACATGATTATCGTGTATTTATTTAGATGAAAAACCAATTGAATAAGCTGGTTCAAGGTTTCTTGGACTTTGTTGTGAAAAATTTAAGGTAAAATGAATCAAGTCTTAAAATTTTATTTTCTAAATTTATATATATAGTTACATGTAGTACAGCATTAGTAAAAGTAAAGTAAAGTTCCCTTTTCAAACCTGAATGTCTATGGGGCAAGTGAAGTAGAATTCACTGGTTTCTGTGACCTCGGCATATGTAGAGACAGTGTGGTCAGCACTATGCCCAGCAGCCTTTACTTTCCCTAACGAGAGTTAGGTACCCATCAGAGTTGGGTGGATTCAGAGATGGTCTACTGACTTGAACCCAAATTTGAACTCGAGACTTATGGGTTAGCAGTCAGGCTCTTGACCGCTAGACCACTCCGTCCCCCCAGTTAATTATAAATATTTTTGAAAAATTCTTTCTCTAATCATTTTAAATGTTAATCTTTTTACCATTCAGTGTTATTTAATTTTTCATTGACAAGCAAATTTAATTGAACTGTGTGAATACGTTTTTCTTCTGAAAACTTCCAGTTTAAAAAAAATTATAAAACTATTTTTAAAAATTATAATAAAAGGTTGTAAGGTTAATTTTCAAACCTTTATTTACATCAGAAAAGGCAGTTTGATTGTTGAGGCTGAGGCTATGATAGATGGAAGTGTCAACACGAACCCTGCTGGTGAATTTATCAAAGCTCTTACTAAACTCAACATGGATCTGGTAACTGTCAATGGCACATATCAGAGTAATGCAACAATCACAGTTAATAACTTCTGTGAGTTTACTTATCTGTATTCTCTAGATTTGTATCTCATTTAAAAGTCTGTGTTTTAAGTAGTAATCTAATTACACTTTAGGAAATACATAAATTGTTAACATGTTATGATTCTCCATTAAAAATCTTGAGATTATAAAATAACTTTAGCTTCAGATTTAACTAAAATAATTTTTACATTACATAATTATTTGTAGTTAATGATTGTTTAGTTAATACTTATATATCTCTACACCTAATTTATATAATGAATCTTAAAAATTTTAAAACAATTATATGATCCTAAAATAATGTTCTAAAATTTCATATCTTTTATTTTACAAAGTGATTACAAATGAAGTTAGCCAGTGTGAAGCAAGGTCAAAGGTTGACCCCTGCAGTGATGATGAGATATGTGTTACTGCCAGTGATGGTGTGGCAGTTTGTAAGCAGTAAGTGAATTATAAAAGTGAACACAATTATAACATTATTTGCCTTTTTGAGGCTGAACAGTTAGGGAAGAGCAGATAGTAGAGTTCATTTGTATTGGAGAACATTTATATCATTTCAATATACCACAATGTTCACTCACCATAAGGGATCATCCATAAATGATGTCACACTTTTTTGACAATTTTTACCTCCCCCCTCCCCTCCGCCACACATCGTCACAAAAAGCCAGACCCCCCCCTAAAATGACGTCACACCTCAGTCTACAACCCCCATCAAAACTAAAAAAAAAGTTGAATTTTTTTTTAAACATTGATATTTTTCCAAAATCTTGTCTGAACTCCATCAAAATAGAGTATTTTAATCAATTCCTATTACAATTTATTAAAACAGTTTTCTAACATTGGTTTTTTATAATGCAAAAGTGTGACATTGCACCATCTGTACCCCCTCCCCCTCATCACACACTGTCACAAAATTACGGACCCTCCCCCCTTACGAGTGTGACGTCATTTATGGACGACCCCTAACTTCCAACAAAATTGAACTTCCTTCCTCTACAATTTAGTAAACTATAAAGATTAAAATCATAACATTAAACTCAGGTAGTAAGGAAAATTATTAATCTATATATATAATTCTCTTCTTGGAGATGATAGAAAACACCAAGCTGTAAGCGAGCTCCCTACCACCCCCACTCTACATGGTCTAGTGAGCTGTGGTTCAAGCTAAAAGTTTACAATTGTAGAGCCGGGTTAAATGGTGACGGTTATTAGGGGCAGATAATGTAGTTTGAAACGATTTTAAACTTAGGGGAGGTAACTAAGAGGAGTTTGCTTACATGGGGGATGTGGGGTAGGGGTTGGGGAAAGGAGGGGGGGTTATCATCCTTAACGAGCTACTGATAGTGTTTTAAAGCAAATATTTTTAGTGGCGGCGTTGGTACTGTCGAATTCACAAATTATGCATGACTGAAAAGTAGAAAATAAAACAACTTAATAGCGGCATATGATACGCCACGGGTTGGCTAGTTTATTATAATAAAAAAAAAATCTAACAAGTGGCCAAATATTTTGCAGCTAAAATGCTTCAAATAACAAATAACTTAAGGAATAATTTACCTATTTCTAATATTTCTAATATATATAAACAAATTTATGATATAATGAAAATCAAATAGCAAGGGGACTAAATCTGTTTTTTTATATTTAATATTATGTGTTTAATATTAAGAATATTTGGGTTTAAAGTCTAGTGGGTAAGTAAAAAATGACTGGGGACGGTAACGTCTAAGACTTAATATGTTAATTTATTTATGGCATTTACTGAGGTTTAAAATGTTGTTGTTTGCTTCGAAATTCCAAGTTATCCAGAGTAACTACATCATATTAATTTGAGCAAGACAATGGCTACATTTTCTTAAACATCTTTTTTCAGTAGTATTTAAAAGATTCTCAAAGTGTTTCTATTTCTCAAGAAAATATACAAGTTATCATTTTTCATTTAATTTAATATACTTATATTATGAAACAAATGCTAACTTTATACTAGTCTAATGAATGTTATTCTTGAATTTAAAAAAAATACTAATCTATTGCTTAGTTACTCACATGAACAGCAGAGGGTGTCTATTTAATGTAAGAAACCCACATTATTCTCTTAAAATTTTCTGTCACAGATACATTGACAAAGAGACAAGAGACAAGCAAATTGGAATAGGTGTTGGTGTTGGAGTGGGTGGTCTGATAGTTATTGCAATTATTACAACTCTGGTTGTAAGACACAAACTCAAGTCCAGGAAATACCAAGGTTAGCATCATTCATATATGCTTATAATAGACAGGTTTTCAACTCTCAATACATAAATTGTTTAACATTTTAATTTAATATATTAGAAAAAGAAAACTATTTTGTCTGAACCTGGATATTATTTTGTTATTTATGTCTATTACTTACCATGTATACAATTTTTTTTCAGCCTATTGAAATTGAGATGCAATGTGTTGATCAATTCCTGATGTTGTTAAAGATTCAGCATTTCAAAACATGACAAAAAACTGAAACCTGAAACACATTTAACCACATTTTAGTCTACATAATGAACTATATATTTACATCTAAATATTATGTTGCTGTGTTTGTTTTATGCATATTACAAATGTAAATTATTTCGCCCTTATGTTTATAATTAATAGCTATTTCTTATACAATGAATGTTTTCTACAAAAAAATTCACAACATAAGTTAACTTATCAGGTTTTTTTGTCTCTTCTTCATAAAAAATTGAGCTAACTTCAATACAATGAGATTTCTATTTCTAAACAGTGAATGACATAGAAAATATTTTGTTTGTATGGTCATACCAGTACTATATTATGTGTCAAGCGTTTCTCTATAATTATTTTGCTATTGAACTTTAGTTTTAACATATATCTTGTCATACTGTGTTTTTAGTTTGAAACTGTGATTATTATCTTTTTGTATAAAACACCAAACACATACTGTGTGCTTATATCCTTTTTTACTTTTCTATACATTTTAACATTTTTATTAATAAAATAAAAAAAAAAAAATTCGTTTTATTTTTACTTCTTGTTTGTTAATTTTCATTACAGTTTTAAATACTTTTACGAGGCTTGTATTTAATGTGCGTTGTAGACTGTGCTAATTTTTAAATATTACTTGTTATTTAACGGCTAAATTATTTTAGAATAATCTAAGCATCTTGGGTGAATTCAGGCTAGATGACATGCATTTAATTTGTGACTCGCCATAGGCGAATAGTGAGGACAGTGAACCTATGTAGATGTCTGCAAAAATTAGTTTAAAAAGCAGACATTATCTTTATTGGTAATTTAGTGAACTTTTATGTCTTTTATCTTTTGAGATAACGTAAGGGATCGTCCTTGAAAGACGTCACAATCAAAGAGAGAACGGGAACGAGTTTCGGATTTTCTTGACTAGGTACATTCGGGGGGGGGGGGGGGGGATTAGACAGCTATGTCACGTAGCTTAAGCCTTTTTTATATTTTTTAAAACGATTGTTTTCTGAAAATTGTTATGGGAATCGTTTGATATAGTAAATGTTGACCAAACTCAGAAAACATTGAAAATAATTAATATTTAACTAACAAATAAAAGCAATTCTGATTAGGGGAGGTAGGCATAGTTGTGAAGTTATTTTAAGGCGGGGGTGGGGGTGTTTGTAACGATTTTTCAAGACTATGTAGGGGGAGATAAAAATCGTTGTTAAAAAAGCATGACTTCGTTTATGGAAAACCCCATATTCTTATTTAAGAAAATGTGAAAATAACGTGTTAATTTAACACGTCGGATTAAATACAATGTCATGTTTTTTTAAACAATGTACTGTCAACGTAAAATACAGGCAGCAAAAAAAAAATATACGCAGTTAATAAAAATAGAAGTACTATCTGTAGCATTTAAAAGGAAAAGTTTATTGATAACAGAAAAAATATGTTGTCTTTTTCTCTAAACTAGGTCTACATCCTTATCTTTCGCAGTTAAAAAAGAATGTCGTGACATTTCGATTGAAAGTTAAGAGGGGTTCTAAAGTCTAATTGTGCAGACATTTTGAAATTATAATTTTATTTAAATGGATGGCAAATAAATTTAGGGCCTATAAGTATTGATACTTTTACAATGCGCTTTGAATTTAAGTTGCTATTTTTTCTTCATTACTAAGTTATTAAGATCTGTTGAAATCTGAATCTATTATTTGCCTATAATTTTCGTGTTCAGTAAAAGCTAGTATGTTACGTATAGTTTTAAAGTAGGCCCCATATGCAAATTTACCATAACATCAATGCAAACAAAAATGATTGTCAACGCAATTATTTCAGTTATTGTCAAGTAATATATGTTCGGATGTAGCAATGTTTAAAAAGACAGAACCACTAAAATCACCAAGCAAAGTTTATAAATTGACGGGTTATGTTACATTTCTTGCTTTAATCATTCATTTACTAAAAGACGACTTGGCCGTAACTAATTTCACCATGAAGGTTCTTATTGTATGTCTGCTTGCTGTCACTTTTGGTAAGTCAATGGTAGTAGTTTGTTATGTTCACAGCTGTAGCTGTGGGTTTACAGCTCTAGATTTGGGTGATGTTGATAGCTTTAGCTTTGAGTGTACATCAGTATATTTGGGTGATAACATCACACACGTTTACATCTGTAGATGTATGTGATGTTTACAGCCGTAGATGTGGGGGATGTTTACAGCCGTAGATGTGGATAATGTTTACAGCTGTAGATTTGGGTTAACGGCTGTTGATATGCGTTTACAGCCGTAGATTTGGGTGGCGTTTACTGTTGTAGATATACGTTAACAGCTGCAGATGTGGGTTTACAGCCCTATATATGGGTGATGTTTACAGATGTAGATGTGGGTGATGTTTACACATGTAGATGTGGGGGATGTTTACGGCCGTATATGTGGATATTTACAGCTGTAGATTTGGGTTAACAGCCGTAGATGTAGGGATGTTTAAAGATGTGATTGATTTGATGGATTGCGTATAAACATTCGCTATTATATGTTCAAAAATCCAATTAATACTCTAATTTCTAGAGACAAATAGCTGTTATTTGATCTAATCTTGAAGAAAAGGTGCAGATTTTTCATTTTTTAAACTAATTTCGCAGCTAAAATTAAATAAAATATCGCTTCGAGTTTACTATAACCTAATTTATCAAATAAAGATGTATCAAATAAAACATACACATTATTCTTATATTTATATGAGAGCTACGAGTAGGCCACACAAATAAACAAAATAAAAAACGGACGATACATAATTATTAAAACCATGTTCGCAACGAATGTGGAGTCTATTTGTATTTTTATAAAAAATAATATTTTTTTCAACTTGTTTTTTGTTTGTACAGTTTCTTCAGCTGTGGTTAACCAGGACAAGAGGAGACAAATTTTTGGAATTTGCGTGGAGATGTGTGGTGCCGGTTGTCCCCCTGGAACTGTCTGCAAGTCTAACGGATGTGGACACACCTGCCAGCCTATCACAAGTTAGTTAAAACTGTGTTTGTCGTTTTCGATAAATTACAATCTGATTCTGCAAGTAAATCAATCATTATCAACATTCATTTGGACCCCGTGTTGAGCATAGGGAACGCAGCCACACCTCTCCATTGTACTCAACCTTGGGTTATTCCTCAAAGCTGGGTCCACAACATTTCATCTGCCTCTACTTCAATGACAACTGACCTTTTCCATGCTTGTTTTGCTCTATCTACTTTTCCTTTTCCTTGAGGATTCCAATCAGTTGCATGTCTAATGATGTTACTAGTTGTTTACGCATAGTGTGTCCATCGTCATTTACGATTTGTATTTCTTTGCCAATAGGGTCTTGCACAGATTTTTCTCCAACAATAAAACAATACTCTAGCTTAATTTTAATTTTATATTTTTTTTGTTTAATATATTACAGCTTATATATATATATATATATATATATATATATATATATATATATATATATATATATATATATATATATATATATATATGTATTACAGCCTAAAAACTGTTTTTATTTCCTTGCAGCCACCGTCAAACGAGCCGGTTGTATCATGGCTATGTGTAACAGTTTTTGTCTGTACGGAAACAAGCTGACACCTGAGGGGTGTCCATCGTGTGCTTGTAACGAATCACCTCTGACTGTTTAAAAAACTTTAAGCAACAAATAAAGTTTGCCTCTAATACATCTGATGGAGTTACATTTCTTATCAAATTATTTCTCTATAAGATGTCACTTCTTTGGAATATAAAAAATTAATCAAACCAGTTTAATACAAATAACAGCAGCCAATTCAGGGAAGAAAACAAAAAAATAGGTGGGTACAGCAACAAGTTTAAGAGAGGTAACTCCGATGATAACTAGTCACAGCAACTAAACTAGGGGAGAAAACTCAATGTTATCTAGGTACAGCGTCCTTTCTAGGGGAGAAAACTAAATGTTAGCTAGGTACAGGGTCCTATCTAGGTCAGAAAACTCAATGTTAGCTAGGTACAGCAACCTATCTAGGGGAGAAAACTCAATATTAGCTAGGTACAGCAACCTATCTAGGGGAGAATACTCAATGTTAGCTAGGTACAGCAACCTATCTAGGTCAGAAAACTCAATGTTAGCTAGGTACAGCAACCTATCTAGGGAAGTAAACTCAATGTTAGCTAGGTACAGCAACCTATCTAGGTCAGAAAACTCAATGTTAGCTAGGTACAGCAACCTATCTAGGTGAAAAAAACTCAATGTTAGGTGGATACAGAAACACTTGTAGGGGAGGCAACTCCGATGTTATATTTTACGTACGTGACAAAACAAAATTACTGTAAATATAATGTAAACTATCGTTTCATGATTATTTCAACACAATAGGCAAATGAAAATAATCTTGTGGATAACCCTGTTAATACATGCAAAAATTGTTAATAAGAATCCTGGTAATATAAGTTTATTAGTTTATCACTTACTGGTCTATTTTTTTTTTAAAGGTGAATGATTTTCGTTTAAACGAATGAATTAGTTCGCAACGTCTGTGTGTTTGTTTATTTGTTTGTAGTTTGTGTGTTGGTTTGTGGCAAATCTTGTAACTTAGTTTTAACCCACCTTTAATACAGCGATTTCTTTCAAATTTTCCAGATACGTTCTACTTCGATGACAATAGAAGTGTATCTATTTTTTTAATTTAATTGGATCTTTCATTAATCATTAAAATTAATAAACAGTTTCGACTCGTAGGGGAGATAGCAAAATAAAAATCGAGAAAAACATTTCAAAACGCAAATGCAAACAAAAACACAAATACAAATGCAAACACAAACGCAATATGAGAGCAACAAGCAAACACAAACGCAAATACAAACAAAAACACACAAAAAACTTCACGTTCACTTAGTATGCTTTTTTTCTACGAGATCCTATTCTATTTTTAAAAAGTTTAAGTAATCAGAAATGGATTAAAAACATTTGTCTACATACCGAGTTGCCATCCCCCGTAGTGTTATATAAGAATATTCGAGAAAGTTTAGGGGAGAACACTCCCGGTTTATTTTTAATGTCACAGTTTTTCAATTCCAAATATGTGCATTAATTTTGTATTTATTGTGATGTTGCAAAAAACATTTATTCACGTTATTACTTTATGTGTATGATGATCAATTTAAATGTATCATTCGTCCATAATATCATTATTGCAAGCAATTTCATCTATTTATATGAAATAATTATTCAATATTCCATTTTAGTAATCCCACTTTTCCTTTTAAAATATTAGATTAAATTTAGCATTTGGACAATTTAAAAAGCAGTAAAATAAATTATTTGATTTGGTTTTATTTGATTGAATCTGTTTTTTTTTCCAAAGTCAGATATGATCTTCCTCTATTTCTTTAACGCGTGTTCAGTAATAGTAAGGTATGATTTTTTAAAAATGTGTGTCCTGTCTTGTTGGGTTATTTTCCCATCAGCTGCATTTATATTAATAAAGATTATAAATGTTGCAGATATAAATATTTAAAATCGTGTTTGCAACATTTAAAAAAAAATTCAAACTTACCCTTTTTTATGTCAACAGTTCTTCAATTTCAAACATTTGCATTAATATTTAATTTATTTTGTTGTTGCAAAAAGCATTCATTCACGTTATTACTTTATGTGTATGTGTCACAAGAAGGGGGCTAAGGTGAGGACCTCATCTGGTGACACTATCCAAGGTGGGGGACAACACAACTAATTGTATTACTGAAGTCTAATTGTTTGCAATTAGTCTGAAAGCTTATTAAAGTTATATACATCATTAGGGACATGGTGTTACCACACAGGAGGGGAGGTGGTGGCAATAAACTACCAATAGTTTTAGTTACTTTAACGCATGGCACCCGAAAAGTTGAGGCCGATGAGATCATTTATCAGCATTTTTAATGTTAAAATCATTTAAAATACCAAATCAGTTTGCTGATATCTATGCCATATTCTGTATTGATAGGTAGATTCAGTGGCGTACCGAGGTCGGGTGTCCCACGGTGCGTGACTTCATAGTGTCACCCCCCTATCAAAAGGCTTGTTATATATATATATATGTATATATATATATATATATATATATATATATATATATATATATATATATATATATATATATATATATATATATATATATATATATATATATATTATCATGGAAAATAATTTTTCTGACTTGAATTGTTTTACTCTCCCTCACCATTCCGGTTGACTTAAAGGAGATGCTGAGGGCAGATTTAAAAAAAATTGAATTGATAAAATATTTCTAAACTGTTTTTCAACATTGTTACATAAATAACAAAGTTTATGCATTAAGTTGATAGATACATTTTATTACAATATCTATAACAGTTTTAAGAAAGTACGATATCGTTATCGAACTGAATATAATATGTGGTGAAGTTGTTTGGAATAATGCAATGACACACAGACATATTATCAGCGTTATTTGTATGTTCTTGACGTCCTTTAATCGTTTTGTTTGTGTAGACACGTTCTGCATGCTCTTGAAATTTAACTGGCATCGATACTGTAGAGATCAGTATCATATTAGTGGGGATAACGACTGCAGATATCCCGACGATACCGAATTCTCCGTAGTACAGAAATGGAACCGTTCTTTTAAATTTTCCGGCAAACACCCAGACGACGGTTCACATAAAAGATCTGAGCACATAAATTAGCGCTGAAAAAAACGTAAACACCGATTACTTTTCTCGAAATGTTTAAAGCATGCATATTAGGCCTTTATTTACATGACAATAGCTACACAATATTTGAACCAAGTTTTTATTTTATGGACTGCTGCAACGATTAAGATGAGTGGTCTAGATTACCTGTATTTATACATGATAAATAATCATAATGCCGCACCTTAAAGTATAGTTACGCATCTTTTTAACCCATGTGAAGTTAATTCTTACCATGTAAAGACAAATTCCCTGTGATCTAATACCCTGTGTAAAAACCATCTGTGCTCAAATCTGCGACCACGAC